GAATACGTAGGGTTCCTGACTATCCATTTTCAGCACACACTGAGGGTACTGGAACACACCCCTGAGTACTGTGCTACAGCAGCCACCGAAACGACTTCAGCCTTGAAGGAAAACGGTATCACAGAAGCACCGCGGGCCCTTCGGGCTGGCTGGCCACTCCCAGGTGACAGCGCTTGCTGCCCCTGCACAGCTGCCTGAAAGGCGGTAGTTCCAACAGAGCACAGGGTGCCAGCTCCTCCCAATTGTCACCAGCAGGTGGCGCTCCTGGCTTACGTTCTGGGTCTCTCTCCCCACCCTGGGGTTCTGAGTTGGGCTGGGAGGAGCCCCAGGGTGGGTGGGCAGCAGCCCACTGGCCCCAGCCTGCCCTGGGCCAAAGTCAAGAGGTGAGCGCTAGGTGGGTGCAGCTGGCTTCTTTGCGCGTGGGACAGGACTGAAACCCTCTGCAGAAGTCTATCCCCAGGGAGATGGGGTGGAATGAATTTTCTTTTCCTTCCAATGGTGTAGGCTTCAAAGAGTTTGTGTTGTAAGATGTATGGAGGTGTTTATGGAAAGACCTTCACAGGAACGCAGGGTTCTGACCCAAGAACAGGGATTGTTGCCCCCCAAGCTGGGGCACAGGAAGGTAATTTTCCCCCACCCTTAACCTGACAGTGGCCCAATATGGAAAAACGTTCATAGAATGTGCCACGTGGTGTTTTTAAAACCAGCCCAGCATGGGCCCTGGACCATCAGAACCACCTGGCTGGAGCTCCCTGGTCACCTTAGCCCAGCTGCTGTTCCGAGTCACCCACTGACTCTGAGCCCCCACCTGACCCACCCGGGCTGAGCTGGGGAGGCAAGTCTGCCCCAGGACGGGTGGGAGGGCAGATGCTGGGCAAGTGCAGGAGCAGCCCACCCCCTCCTAGAGGATCACTGGAGGGCTGGAAGTGCTTGCTCCTTACAGGGTTTTGGGTGGGGCCGGGATTCAGGAGTGAGACGCGGCCACTCCCCTGCAGTGCTGATCCCACCTCTGGCAGAGCTCATCTGAATCTCTGAATCTCACGGTGGGGTGTGAACTGACAGAGAAAGCAAACGCTAAAGGCTCCCAACCTCTCCAGGCGTTCGTTTGCATTTTTTTTTTCACAGCGGTAAAATGCATATAACACAAAATTTGCCATTTTAGCTATTTTTAAGGGTATAGTTCAGTGGTATTAAGTACATTGACATGGTTGTGCAGCCATCACCACCATTCAACTCCAGAGCTTTCTCATCTTCCCCAACTGAAACTCTGTGCCCATTAGACACTGACCCTCCAGCCTTCCCCCGTAGCCCCCTGCAACCACCATTCTGCTTTCTGTCTCTGAACTTGACTGCCCTGGGCACCGCATGTGAATGGAATCATGCAATGTTTGTCCTCTTATGACTGGCTTATTTCATTCAGCATATTGTCCTCAGACTCATCCATGTTGTCAGAATTTCCTTCCTTTTTAAGGCTGAATAACATCCCATCTATGTGGAGACCACGCTGTGTTCATCCACACATCAGCTCATGGACACGTGGGCTGCTTCTACCTCTTGCCTACTGTGAAGAGTGCTGCTGTGAACATGGATGTGCGAATATGCGTTTGAGACCCTGCTCTTAAGAATTCCTGAATTATATAGTAGTTCTATTTTTAATTTTTTGAGGAACCTCCATACTGTTTTCCACGGTGGCTGCACCATTTTACATTCCCACCAACAGTGCATGGGAGTTCCAACTTCTCCACATCCTCACCAGCATTGGTTGTTATTGTTGTTGTTGTTGTTATTATTATTATTAATAGCCATCCTGACAGGTGTGAGTGGTCTCTCCAGGTGTTTGAAGGACACAGGATTTGATACCGGCATTGGGTACATACAAAACCACTGGGAGCGCAGGAGGAGAGGCCCTGGGCTGGGCCTCCCAAGACCTTCCAGAGCCCCACACATCTGACCTGCTGGGGAGTGGTCCCTCCAACACAACCAAGAGGTGACAATTGTGGGTGCCACTGAAGAATATCTGTTCCCATGGGGTGCAGGGAGCTGGGATCACGGTACTATCCCTATGGCAAGTGGGCAGCTCAAGACTAGACATGGGGACACTGCTTCAGAACATCTCATGTCCCCTTGTCTAGTCACGTCTGCTGGGTGGCAGAAGAGCCCAGAGCTGCAAGAAGCTGCCCCTCCTTCCTTTGCCTCCTTTGTCTCACTCACTAGTGGATCCTAATCCACATGCAGAAGCTGGCTGCAAGGGAGCCTGGGAAATGTAGTCTTTGGCTTTCCAGGCTCTGCAGGTCAGGAAGGCTCTGGAGAAGAAGGTTAGGGTTAGGAGGGCCACACGCTACACTAACTCAGCAGGTGCTCAGAACACTGCAGCTATTGTCAATATCTCCTAGAAATGGGGTTCCAGGAAGTGGCCTTCCTCAGCCACACCAGCCTTCAGACCCCCAAGGCAGGCTCCCTCCTGCCAAAGGCCTTTGTGCATGTCCTCTCCTCCTTCTCAAATGCTCCTCCCTGCCTGCTCTGCCCCCATGTGTAAAGTTTACTAGTACTCAGCTAAAAAATGTCACTTTCTCATAGCAGCTTTTTTCATAGTAGGTGAAGATTAGAACAACCCAAATACCCACCAACGGAGAACATCTACGATATGGTGTGTTCATACAATGGAATATTATACAGCAAAGAAAATGGACACCCTCCTACCACCTGCAATGATATGCACGAATCTCACAGAAGCCAGACACACAGTCCATACGCTTCCATCCACATGAAGTGCAAAAAGAAGCAAAATTAATCTATGGAAAAGGGCTGAGGGGCATGGTTACTTCTGGGGGGAGGTAAGGAAACTTCTAGGGGCTGGAGGTCTTCTCTAGCTTGGTCAGGGTGAGTGTGCTTGGTGCACACATCGATAAAAGTTCATTAGGCTGTACACTTAAGATGTGGACTCCTTATACAATAAAAAAGTAAAAGTAAAGTATGTTCCTTTCTCTGGGATGCCTTTTCCCAGACTAGCACAAATTCCCCAGAATGAGCTGCCAGAATTCCATGCAGGCCTCCATCAGGCTCTTGCCCCACAGCAATGGCATGTTTTCCCATGGGACGCATTTCGCGTGGTCAGCTCCCCACTAGACTGTAAGCTCTGTGCAGGAGCTCTCTGTGTCTCTGTATCTTTCCAGTACCTGTATCTCCAGCACGTGGTTCTTAACATCTGCTGTGTGCATGGGTGACAACCATCAGTGAACAAGCCCACCCTCTAGCAGCAGCACCGTGAGCCTCATGCTTGCAATGTGAGTTCTAAACCCAGAGCAGGGACAAATTCATCAGATTTGCAGCTGATTCATCCTCCAGCCGTCCAGCTGAGCGGTGCAGCCACGGAAGGCAGGCTTCCCAAACAGAACCACCTACGCCTCTCACTCTTCTTCCCCCAAATGTTCCAGGTTCTAATATCTTTTTCCCAAAAAAAAGACAAAGAATTCTTTCACCTTAAAACCTCAGAACTTAAGATCCTTAAAATCCTGCACACGTAATATGTATATAACTGTGCTCATATGACACACAAACGCACTGAGGCTGCCCGGTGCATGTGTCCAGGAGCAGGGGCTGTTTGTGGATCGAGGGGAGGAGGAGGAAGTGAAGAGTTGCTGGGCCTGAGTCTATCTGAAGGGCAGCGGCCTGAGAAGATCCCAGCTCAAGTTTGTGCTGCCGGGGCCTCCTCCTACTCTCCAGGCCTACCGGGTTCTCACTGCCTCCCAGATGGCAAATGTTGGCCCAAGTGGTCTTGAGAGGTGGTGAGCACCCTGTCCCTGGAGGTATGCAAGTAGAGACTAAAGGATCATTTGTAAGGGCTGTCGTGAGACAGGGAGAGGGCGGGGGCTAGCAGGACGGCCTCCTGGAGGACCTCAGAGTGCCAGGCATCTGTGTCTACATCCTTTTGAAATTCTGTTGTCACCGAGGGAATGATGCTCACCAGGCTCCTGTGACCATATATAGTCTTGAAAGGTGGGAGCCGTGGTGGCAGCTGTCATTTATTGAAGTGTCCGGGTGCTGGGTGTTGTAGGGAGGGCTTTTCCCATCACGTGCTTTCAAGGAGAGGTTTCTGTGGAGTTGTGGTTAAGAATGTGGATTCTCAAGCCTGACTGTCTGGGTCCAAGTCTCAGCTTTGTCACTGTCTTTGGAGCGGCAGGGGGTGTCTCAGAATCAGCCTTGGGACAAGAATTCAAGGGCAAGTACTTGGTTTGGGAGATGCAGGGAGCACTGTCCAGGGAGTGGGCAAGTGAGGCAGGGATGGGAAGGAGCCTGTAGAGGGCACGTTATCAAGGTAGTGACCACTGGGCTACCGGGCTCAGTGCTGCTGGGAGCCCTGGGAGACAGCATGGAGCTGCACCGGAGGTCACCTGACTAGGGAGACTGAGGAGAGAGGGAGTGGGGTATTCATCCAGCAATGCCCATCCACGGTTGTCTGAGACCTGCTCCTGGGGGCAATGACTCTTCAGACCTCCAATCGATTTAGCCCACCTGCTCTCGCAGCTGAGAAAAAAAGTCCTGAGGCACAGTCACAGGTGTCCCCAACCTTTGACATGAAGAGATAGGTCCTGGGGACGGAGATGGGGGTAATTGGTGGGGCACCAACTGTGTCCTCTAAGGCCAATTAGTAGCTGCGCGACCTCAGGCAATTGCTCGGCTCTCTGTGTCTCCACGTTCTCCTCTGTTAGGAAGCCCGAGGCCAGCGAAGGCAAGAGCCCAGAACCATGCCCAGCAAACTGTAAGTGCAGGAGTCCCGGGAGTATAGAAGGGAGCCTATCTCATCCCACTTCACAGAGGAGGATGCTCAGATCAGAGTGGCTAGGCTGTGTGCTCTGTGCTGCCAAGCACGAAGGGGCAGAGACAAAGCCTGGGGGACCCCGGAACCCACACTCACAGGACTCCCTGTCCCGTGCTCTCCCGGGGATAGGTCAAAGCAGCCACTCCTCCAGGGCCACCTCCGTTTTTCTCCCTCCTCTCACCTGCATTGAGCGGGTGTCCCCTGATAGGTACTGCAGCACGCCAGCCTCCACCCTTGGCAGGGCCTCCTGGGTTCTCTCCAGAAGCCCTCTTTGCACCATCCTGCAGCACCACGGCTTGGCTGGGCTGCCCTGGAGGGCACACAGGGGAAGAACCAGGGTGCCGCTGGCTGTGGGCAGCTCTGGTCCAGGCCTAGCGGCATTCAGCAGGCAGGAAGTGGCCAGAGGACCACCTCCCCACACCGTGATCCTGATAAGCATCTCACCCACCACCCATCCCAGCCCACCCGGTGTCTGAGAGACCAGGCTGCAGAGCCCTCTGCGTCCCTGGCTCCATTTGTGCCAGTGGGAGGACCTGGGCAGGGCAGCCACTTCCCCCCGGGCTGCTGTTTGCCTCCTTTAGCTGGACATTGCCCAAAAGTCTTGGAAGCAAACCCCCAGAACAGCTTATCGCTTGGCATAGAGATGACCAAGACCTCCTGTGGAACAGAATATTCACTCACACACTGGTTCATTCATTCATTCCTTTGCTCGACAATCTTTTCTCAGCCCCTGCCCTGTGCTGGGCCTGGGATTTGGCGCTGGGGTAGGTCCCCTGCAGCACACAAGCTCACAGTCCACCAGGGAGCTCCAGCAAGGAGCTGCACAATGCACAGGGGCCCAGGAAGAGGGTCCCCTCTGAGGTTATTTGTGCCATTTTAAGGTGAGAAGGAAATAGGTTCAGAAAGTCACTGAGTGTCCTAAATCACACAGCCAGACCTGCCAGCCGTGCCCTTTCCCATACTCCCTACAGGTCCCTGGGCTGCTGGGGGGTGGGCGGCGACTGAGCAACTCAGCAGAACTTCCAGGCCTTGGGGGCTTTCAGACAAGGGGCCTGAGATGCCAACTCAGAAGGGACCCTCAGCTGTGTGGCCTGACCTCGGAGGAAAGGCAGTTAACAGAGTGGCTTTGGAGCCCGAGCACCTACGTGGCAGTGACACTGTCCAGGCACAGGGGAGCCAGCCGGGTCTCAGTTTCTTCACCTGGAAGTCAGGATCAGCATGGCACCCACCTCATGGGCTGGGGTGGGGATGCAGGAGAAAGTCCATGGGAAATGTTTCTTCAGCACAGCACCCAGCATATCACGAGCACTCAAGAAAGGCTCCTAACAGTATATATTATTATTTTTATCAGTTATATTAGTTTATTATATTTATATTTATAAATATATTTAATATAATAATGCATAATAATTATTATTTAGTATTTATCTTTATTAACACGTAGGCAGGCCAGAACTGTCTGCCCCAAATGCATGGGCGAGGGTGGATGTGGTGGCTGTGTGGGGCGGGAGAGCCAAGCTCTGAAGGAACAGGACCGGCCTGGGGACGTTTTGACAGAGGTGACTGAGCGAACTGAGGCCGGGAAGGGGGCCCTGCACCTGTAGATGGCACTGTCAGCCTCTTGAACAGTCATCATCAACGGCACCAGTCTCACAGCTCATGGAACCTCACGACCTCTCTGTGATGTCTCCTCTCATCTTAATGAGGAAATGGAGGCCCAGAGAGGTTCATGAACTTGTCCAAGGTCACCCAGCCAGTAAGTGATGAAATCCCAGGAAAGCTGGGGTTTGGGAGGGCTCTGGGTTCTGCGTACCAGCACAAGTGGGCTGCCCTCACGATCCCCCACCTTTGCTGCATTGGCACCCACTGCTCCCCAGGTCCACTCCCAAGGGCACCTTCTCAAATTCTGGCTGCATCAGTCCACATGTCACCTCCTTTACACTGGTCCCGGCTGGGTGACACCAAGGTCAAACCGCAGAACTCTCTAACCCGTCTTCTGGACCTTCCTTGCTGTCCCAAGAGCACCTTCAGGAGGCCCTGAGTTTACACAGCCAAGTTTACACACTTTGATTACATCTTAGATGGCCTGTTTCCTGGGGACATCCACGGAGGCAAAAGGACCAGAGGAGTCTGAGGCTCCCCCTGCGAGATGACGACGCTCAGGAGCACCTAGGGCAGGCAGCCTCCCCTCTGGAGCGCCGGGGCTTGAGGCCTTGTGTACAGTAGTCATTCAGCAAATGCCTGTTGGTTTATTGACTCACACAGGAAGGAATGTCAGCTTCGGCTGTAACCTAGGTCTTTGGTGACAGTCAGATCTGGGTTAAAACCCCAGTTCTGACACTTGAAAAAAATCACTTTCCTTTATTCAGCCTCAGTTTCCCCATCTGACATCTCAGGGGTGTTGTAGGTGTACATGTGGTACAAGATGTCGTGGAAGCTGTTAGTGCTCAGCCCAGATCCCTGCTGGGTCCCTCTTATCAGGTCTGTGATCCCATCCCTCAGCGTCTGTGTGTTCCCCTCCTAGCCGCTCTCGCCAGCAAGGAGCCACTTCTCTTATACAGGCAGAGCCAGGTGTGCCTGGGAGTTTATCCCTTCTCCCTGCCCCAGTGTCCCTCATCTAATGACCAATAAGTGCAGAAGTCTGAAAGCCCAGCTCCCTTGCCTGGAGCTCCCTGAAAGATCAGGCTGAGGCTGGGGCTTTTCTCGAAATCACACTTGGCTTCCTTCCCTTCCCTGCCCTCCAGGGAGGCTTTCCTGAATAAACCACTCGCACATACATACCTGCCACAGGGCCTGCTTTCAGAGTCAGCCTAAGACTCATACATAAATCTGCTGGAGACCACCTGACACTATCAGGTAATATAACTTTCCTAATCTTGAAAAGCACAGGAGGTTAGTAGGCTAGAATGTTTACCTGTTATTCTCAAGAAAAAGCCTTGTGCCTCTTCCCAAGAAAACACTGGATATCTAGAACAAAGGAGAAAAACCAGTAATATTTGCAAAGCCCCTGCGTAAAGCATTTTGTTTCAGAAATCGTGCTTGCTTGCTTTTAGCAACTGCTAGCATTAGAAAGCTCCCTGTCCCTCAATATCCTAAATAAGGTAAAAGAAAAACAGGGCTGGATGTTGAGCAAGAGTCTGCTCATTGCCTACCCAATTCCCCCCTTCCTTCTTACTAACAGAACTTTGATTTTACCCAAGGTGACCAGGTGAGCAGCTGACAGACTCCATTTTCCAGCTTCCCTAGCAAATAAGAGCCAGTGAGAGACAAGCAGAAGTTGTTGAACAGGACTTTCAGAAAGGCTCCAAAAAGGCTAGTATGTGCCCTTTTAACCTGTTCCCTTCTTCTTCCTGCCTGGAACATATACGTGATGGCTGGCACTCCAGTGGACATTCTGTGACTTTGAAGATGGAAGCCAAACCCTGCATATGGCAGAGCAGAAAAGTGGAAGGATTATAGGTTCTTGACGACTCTAAAATTACCATACCTGTCCTGGGAGTCCCTGACTTCTCCAACCTGTGAGAAAAAAAACCTCTGTTTTATTTAAGCCACTATTTTCCAGGTCTCTGCTACTTGCAGCTGGACACAACTCCCAAGTAATATAGATGTCACCGCAAGTCTACAGTTTTGTTCTTAAGTGAAATAATAGGACTCTCTCTTCCCAGCCCTCCCCCCCCCAAGAGGGCCACATGGTCCCACACACAGAGACTTGCCTGCAAGGGACGGATGACCCTTTCTGATCACTGAGAAAACGACACTGCTCCTGGGCCCAGGCCTGCTAAAGACAATTGGAGAGTTCCACCTTCTGGCACAGGGACAGAGTCGAGACAGGTAACTCCTGGGTAGTTCCCAGTACACACAGAGCAGAGAGAAAAGAGAATGAAGCTCTCTGTCCAATCTCTCCTTCTGTGGGTCCAAAAATCTCCATCTAATTACAATTTAAAAAAAAATCAAAGTGCTAAAGCAACACTATTCGTAATAGCAAAGACATTTTTTAAAAACCCTGGAAACAAGCAAACATCCATGTGTGCTGAAATGGATAAATAAATCGTGCCATGTTCACGGACGGAATGCCACATGCTGCCGTTAATGAACCATCTCCTGCTGCCACGACGTCAAGGGCGGCTCTCACAGGCATAATGTCGCACAAAGAAGTCAGACATAAAGGAGTAGCTACTGTGTGATTCCATTTACATAAGGTTCAAAACCAGGCAGAACTAATCTGCGAGTGGGACGTCAGGACAGCGGTTACCGTTGGGAAGGCAGCAGATGGGAGGGAAGGGGACCCTGGGGTGACTTTCTGTCTCTTTTCTGCGCTGTCATCACACAAGTGTGAGATTCACTGAGCTGAATGATGAGGATTTGTGCACATTTCACATGTGTCCTAAACTCCAATCAGATTTGCATTTGGAGGAATCAACGGTGACGGCACACAGAGATGGGAGGTACCCCCCATTTAGACAGATCAGAGAACACAGTACCTCGAGGTGTTCGACACATGTTGGGGTCTCCATAGGTGGTATTGTGATCAGTGTGGCATGTCCAGTGGCAGGGGCCAGGGGCTCCTGGGCATGTGAGTCATCTTTGGAGGGGGACTTAACTAGGAAGGACGACCTGGCTGTGGGAAGGGAGGGGCCACAGCAAGCGTGGGATTGTGGGGAGCACTATGGCGGATGTCTAGCCACACGGTCTGGACCCCTCCCAAAGCCACACCAGGAGGCAGTTCCCAGCTGTTCACCTGAGAGCATCAGCTTGTCTGTGGGTTGAATTCTGCAGACTTGGGTGGAACCAGGGTCTGGGGGACGGCACCTCTGAGGCACCAAGCACAAGGTAAGTACCCAAGTGTTAGGTCATCTTGACAATAATCCCACAAACTAGTTGTTATCATTGGAATCCCAGTGTCAATCAGGATTCTTTTATTTGCAAGTAAGAAAACCAACTCAAAATGTCTTAAGGAAAGAGAGAGAGAGAGATTTGTTGGTTCACTACCTTAGCTTGGGTTCTCCAAGTCACATATTTGGGATGTGGTCCTAGAAGGCACTGGGTGGGTGTGGGGAACCAGGGAAGGAGCAGGAGGAAGGCAGCACCGGGCACATTAGTGTGCGGGTGGCCACTGTGGGCACCAGGGCTCGGTCCTGCTGGGCAGCTCCAGAAGCCCCAGGAGATCTGTGCCCTCAGTTGCTCATTGTTGAAGATCACTCTGGTGGTGATCTAACTCTCTGACACTCCCATCCTGTCCTGCGCACGTGCAGATCCCACCAGGAAGTTTTGCCTCTGACTTTCACGACGGCTGAGGACATGGCCAGGAAC